GAGAGTCCCAAACAAGATGAACCCCAAGAGGCCCACACCAATACACATCATCATCAAAATCCAAAAGGTTCAAGACAAAGAGAGAATCTTAAAAGCAGCAAGAGAAAGGCAGCTAGTTACCTATAAGGGAGTTCCCATTAGGCTGTCAGCTGATTTCTCAAAAGAAACTGTGCAGGCCAGAAGGGAATGGCAAGAAATATTCAGAGTGATGAAAACCAAGAACCTACAACCAAAATTACTCTATCCTGCAAAGCTGTCATTTAGAATCTATGGACATATAAAAACGTTCCCAGACAAGAAAAAGTTAAAGGAGTTCATCACTACCAAACCATTATTATATGAAATGGTGAAGGGTCTTTTTGAAGAAAAAGATAAAATGTATGAACAAACAAAATGGCAATGAATACGTATCTATCAACAATGGAATCTACAAACAAAATGAACAGGTAGAGCAGAAACATTCTCATAGATACAGAGAACATTTTGTTGGTTGCCAGTTGGGAGGGGGGTTGGGGGAATGGGTGAAAAAGGTGAAGGGATTAAGAAGCACAAATTCATTGCTAGACTGACAAACCTCAAAGGGAACGGGTTGGGGGGTGGGAAGAAATAAATCAAAGAACTTATATGCATAACCAATGGACACAGACAACAGTGTGGGAAAAGGCAGGAGGGGGGCAGGAGTGGGGGGGAGGGGGTCAATGGGGGAAAAATGAGGAACATCTGTAATACATTCAAAAATAAAGATTTAAAAATCTTTTTAAATAAATATTTAATTTAAAAAAATAAAACTAAAAACAAAACAAACAAACAAAAAAGCAGCCTGGTACTGGCACAAGAACAGGCAAATAGACCAGTGGAACAAAACAGAGAACCCAGAAATGGACCCAAGGCAAATGCTCAATTAATCTTTGACAAAGAGGGCAAGAGCATATGGTGGAGTAAAGACAGCCTCTTTAATAAATGGTGTTTGGAAAATTGGACAGCTACATGCAAAAAAAAAAAAAAGAAATGAAACTAGACCATCAACTTATACTATACGCAAGAATAAACTCAAAATGGATTAAAGACTTAAATGTGACTCATGAATCCATAAAAATTCTAGAAGAAAATATACACAACAAAATTTCAGACATCATACTCAGCAGAATTTTCACTGATACATAACCTAAGGTAACACAAACAAAGGAGAAAATGAACACATGGGACTACATCAAACTAAAAAGCTTCTGCACAGCAGAAGAAGCAACCACCAAAATGGAAAGCTAACCCACTGTATGGGAGAGCATAATTGCCAATGATACATCAGATAAGGGGTTAATTTTCAATATATATATATAGAGTGCTCATACAACTCAACAAAAGGAAGACAAAGAACCCAATTAAAAAATGGACAGAGGAACTAAATAGACACCTCTCCAAACAGGACATACAAATGGCTAAGAGACAAATAAAGAAATGCTTAACATACTATTCATCAGAGAGATGCAAATTAAAACAACAATGAGGTATCACCTCACACCTGTCAGAATGGCCACCATCAACAAATCATCAAATAACAAGTGTTGGCGAGGGTGTGGAGAAAAGGGGACTCTAGTGCACTGCTGGTGGGAATGCAGACTGGTGCAGCCAGTATGGAAAACAATATGGTGTTATGTTGGGGTCAATCGAGGGCCCTTTAAGAATAAGTTGGCTGTACGTGCAGAACTTGTTTTCCTGCTTGCAGTTTATTGCCTGAAGGTCCTTGAAGTATCGCCTTGAGGAGTATTCCTGAGATAAGGCCCCTGGTTAGTGTTGGAGCAGTAAATGCCTTTGATGATTAAAAGTTGTTTTCTCTGCTCATGCACCCTTTTCCTCCCTTCCTGCCTGACTTTTCCCACAAGTATATAATCTGTTACCTATCTGCAATAAAGTTGAGACTTGATCAGACTCCTGTCTTGTCTCCATTTCTCGTGTCTCTTGTCCCTTCTCATCCTCACTCCCCCTCTAGAGTCCTCATTGCTCGACCTGCGGGACGGGTCAGTGTTACCTCAAAAAATTAAAAATGAACTGCCATTTGACCCATTGATCCCACTTCTAGGAATATACCCTAAGAAGCCTGAAACACCAATCAGAATGAATATATGTACCCCCATGTTCGTAGCAGCACTATTTACAATAGCTAAGATCTGGAAACAGCCCAAATGTCCATCAGTAGACGAATGGATAAAAAAGCTTGGTACACATATACAATGGAGTATTATGCAGCTGTAAGAAAGAAAGATCTCTTATCCTTTGAGACGACATGGAGGGATTTGGAAAGTATTATCCTAAGTGAAACAAGCCAAACAGAGAAAGACAAGTATCATATAATCTCACTTATTTGTGGAATATAATGAACATAACAGTCTGAGGAATGGGGTAGTCCCAGAGACGTGGAAGTAGGGTACAGACTGACAATCTCCAGAAGAGGGGGTGGTGGGGGAGAGATAAACCACAGAAGTTATATGCATGTATGCATGAACAGTGGACATGGACAACAAAGCTGGGGACAGGGCATGGAGGGAGGAGGAGAGGGCAATCAGTAGGGGAAAAGTAGAAACATCTGTATAAAAAAAAAAAATAGTCAGTCATTGTATGTTTTAAAAGTTCATGCAATATACCAGTTGAAAATCGCTGACTTAGACATTTCTGCCACTTCCACATTCTGCATGGGCACATGACTTTGGCTCAGGCTGGGACATACAGTAAAAAGAACACAGCCTCCCTGAAGATGCTTTGGAGCCATTTCTTCCCAGGTCTTGTTTCTTTCCCAGGATACTATCAGGCAGTGGGGCAAAGGTTCCTATTATTAAAAAATCCCACTCATTCCTATCTCTTCTCCATTAGAATCCCTTACAAGAGCTCAGACTATTGAAAACAAAAGTCAGGAAAGAGTTTGCCTTCAGCTCTCTCTGCTTGTAGCCAGCAGCACAAACCTCCTCTAAGACCAGGGAGCACAAGAACCAAGCAACTCTTTTTTTTTTTTATCCTCACCCGAGGACATTTTTCCATTTTTTGTTCAGATAGAGTGGGGAGGGAGAGAGAGAGAGAGAGAGAGAGAGAGAGAGAGAGAGAGAGAAACATCGACGTGAAAGGGACACATCGAGTGGTTGCCACCCGCACGACCCAACTAGGGCCGGGGACAAACTGCAACTAAGGTACATGCCCTTAGTGGGAACAGAACCCGGGTCTCTCTGGACCGCAGGCCGATGCTCTACTGCTGAGCTGAACTGGCCAGGGCCCAAGCAACTCTTCTTTATTTTTATTTTATTTATTTTATTTTTTTTTATCCTCACCGGAGGATATATTTTCATTTTTTGTACAGATAGAGTGGGAGGGAGAGAGAGGAAGGGAGAGAGAGAGAGAAACATCGACGTGAAGGGACACATCGAGTGGCTGCCACCCGCACGACCAACCAGGGCCGGGGACAAACTGCAACCGAAGTACGTGCCCTTAGCGGGAACCGAACCCGGGTCTCTCCGGACCGCAGGCTGATGCTCTAACCGCTGAGCCAAACTGGCCAGGGCAAGAGACTTTTTTTTTTTTTTTATCCTCACCCGAGGACATTTTTTCCATTTTTTATTCAGGTAGAGTGGGAGGGAGAGAGGAAGAGAGAGAAAGAGAGAAACATCGACGTGAAAGGGACACATCGAGTGGCTGCCACCCACACGACCAACCAGGGCCGGGGACAAACTGCAACCGAGGTACGTGCCCTTAGCGGGAACCGAACCCGGGTCTCTCCGGACCGCAGGCCGACGCTCTAACCGCTGAGCCAAACCGGCCAGGGCCCAAGCAACTCTTTTTTAGAAATTGGGAGGAAAAAAAAAAGAAAACAAATTAAAAAGGGGTTCTTATTCTTTCTGATTGGATATATTACAAACTCCTGTCGCAATAAACTATGCTGTCATCCTGTCACACATTGATAAATAAGCATAGTCCTTGACCCTGGGGAGTTTGCAATCTGAAACTGAGAAAAAAAAAACACTGCCAGCTATAAAACAAAGTGACAGGTGTCATAAGTGACCCAGATGTTCAGAGTGCTGTGAGACTTTAGAGGTAGAGGGGAAATTTGCAGCTGATTTCAGAAAGCGGAGATGAAGAAATCAGTGGAGGGACTGTCTTAAGCAAAGGTGAGAGAGTGAAGAGAATGCATTCCCGGAACAGTGAACAGAATCTAGCTGAACGTTTTTTTTTTTTTACTAGTAAGGGTGTCGGGGGAAATGGGAGGCTTGGAGCCCCAATAAGAGCCTTGGCATAACTAGCAGATGAGATGAACCCTGTATAAGGGCGCTGCTGTCAACGTGTGTCATGAACAATAAGGGACAAAGGGAAACTATGGTTCCTGGATCGTGAACTGAGTCTCTTTGAGAATGGGGTATCATGCATCAGAGAAGTCTAGAAGAAGAGCTGGTTGTGGGTGTGGGTTTAAGGGAGGAAATACCAGAAATGTAAAGTCAAATAAAGTGGGTTTCAGACTGGAAAATAAGGCCTGCCGTTTGAGAGGTTAGGGATCAAGCTATGGATGCTCAATTAATGTCTTTAAAGACATCTCAGTCGGCTGTGAGGTCTGTGAAGATAAGGGCTAAGTGGTGTTCCTCCTGGTACTTGCAGATGCATTTTGAGGGAAGTAGCAATGACGCCAGAAAAATCAAGGAGCGGAAGGAAGAAAAAAGAAAAGATAGGGAAGACAGAGAGGGGAGTAAAATATCACAGAAGGGACAGGAGAAGAGTTTGGCAAGGGATGGTCCAAGGAGTAGTCAATGACATTCTTCAAATGATAGAGAGACACAGTGAGAAAGAAAACTGAGAAAAAGCTGCTGGTTTTGAAATTGAATAGACCCCCTGGAAACCTGGGATGAGGTAGCTTGGGTAAAATGGAGGGTTTAAGAAGTAAGAGGGGATTAAACCAGTTGGCAGCCTCAGTCAGGTGGACAGTGATCAAGACACTGTGCTGGTCCCTCTTGGGGCTGTCACATACATACCAATTCCCTCAATGAGGTGGCAGTCATGGGGCTCTACTGACTCCACTTCTCGGAATGCATTCATTCTATCTCTGTGGAAGACAAAACATGGCGCGGATCAATGCACAGCTTCCAAGATCAATATCTAAACGTGGTCTTTAATTACCTGCATATTCATTAACTCTCATTCATCATTTATGGGGAATATAAGAAGTAAGTAGTCAACTCCTTTTATTTACTTTCATTCACATAACATGGATATTATATCAGCTAACCTCACCCAGTTATTGTTGAAAGGCTAAAATGCAATTATACATGGACAATACTTTGCTGCCCAAATAAATGATAATATTTGATAATATGAGTAACTGCACAGTATTATTAAATGTACAGGTTGTGTTTTTAATTTTATAAAGTATTGTCTATTATAAATCTGCATTCTGGCTCCCCTTAGTCTGCTATGGCGTAGCCTTTTGACCCACCCCTTTCACCAAACTGCTTTCCCCAAATTCAAATTCCCCTAATAACCAAACCCTACAGCCTTTGCTTTAACTTTGTTATTTTAAAATGCTTATGTTGACTTTGCCATTTATCAAACTGACCACAATCTAAACAATCAACCACATTATCTTTCAATATAGTCTTCTTGTTTCCACAATGAAACATTCTTTGTTTCCACAATGAAACATTCTTTTATTTATTTATTTATTTTTGTTCAGATAGAGCGGGAGGAAGAGAGAGAGAGAGAAACATCAATGTGAAGGGACACATCGAGTGGCTGCCACCCGCACGACCAACCAGGGCCGGGGACAAACTGCAACCGAGGTACATGAGGGAACTGAACCCGGGTCTCTGTGTACCGCAAGCCGACGCTCCAACCGCTGAGCCAAACCGGCCAGGGCGATGAAACATTCTTTTTTTTTTTTATCCTCATTTGAGGACATTTTTCCATTTTTTGTACAGACAGAGTGGGAGGGAGAGAGAGAGAGTAAGAGAGAGAGAGGAAAACATCGATGCGAAAGGGACACATCGAGTGGCTGCCACCCGCACCACCAACCAGGGCCGGGGACAAACTGCAACCGAGGTACATGCCCTTAGCGGGAACTGAACCCGGGTCTCTCCGGACTGCAGGCGGACGCTCTCACCGCTGAGCCAAACTGGCCAGGGCTGAAACATTCTTTTAAATACCAGGGATAAGTTTAAATTTTTATTAGGTAATATTCAGGAAGACTCCACAATTGAACTTATTTTACTGTCACTTTTTAAAAAATGCAGCTTAGATCTACTTTATACTACTACTAATTATTTTTTATGAGTCTCTCACTTGGGCACACTGGGAGCACATGTTACAATAAACATACTCAAGTTGAACTAGAAAGTATTATTACGAAAAGGCAACAGGTTCCTCAAGAAATTCCAGTTTCTATCTATAGAAATAAATAAAAGCACCCCAAAGACAACTGAAGGCAAGCAGAGGTTTTGGATCCACTCATAAGTGTGTAGCGTCACCTAATATTTCTTCTTCCTAGCCCAGTATGGACTCTTCCTGAGATATTTCTGACTATCACCTCTAGATCTTCCATTTCAAAATGTCTGATACCTACAAAATGCCAGTTAGCACCTGCAAGTTTCAGCTCATTTTCCTCCTGTCTAAACAGCTCTTGATTGGGGATGGGTTGTCAATGTTTAACTGGCCCTGGTAAATGTCAGGGCCAGCCACGGACATCCATCTGGTAGTCTGTTCCCCTCTCTCAAATCCAGCTCTCCCCACGGCACTTTGGCCTAGCAGGAGTTTTTGCAGGAGCAGAATGCTGAAAGCCACCTTGAAGGAGGATTCAGGCCGGTGACTTTCGGAAAATAAAGGAGGGCATTTCAGCCCTACTGTCTTAGGAAAGGCAAGCAATTCGCTCATGTTCCACATCAGTTTGCTGGGTGGGATTGAGGGGTGAGGTTCCCAAACTGCTCATTCCCACTGGCTAGGAAGTCGGCACCAGGCTACCCTGACCTAACTGGGAAGAGGAAAGAGAGCCAAGGATGCCCCATCAAGATGCCAACTCACCTAAGCACCACAAACCTCTCCCCGATTAGGGCCAAGCCGACCCCGAGCAAAGTCAGCACCACCAACTTTCCCATGGTCCGGGCATCCAGTGGCAAAGAGCCGGTGCACAGCCCTCTTGAAGGAACAGGCAGCAAGGCTCGCGGGCCTGCCCGCCCGCCCGCCCCGCCCACCTGGGAGTTGCGCTGCCGGGACCTGGCAACTGCGGCTGCAGCGGTGCGCGTCTCCCTCCTCATCGCCCAAGTTCTAGGCCATCTTTGGGGGCGGGGAGCCCAAGTCTACCTTTACGCAACAGATTTTAGGTTACCTTTGTGCCTGAGGTTTAAGGCAAAATTGATTCGCAGGAGATTTTTTTTTTTTTTTTTTTTTGCCTGAAGGCTCAAAGTCCAGAGAGGGAGCTGGGAACTGCAGGTAAAAGCCTGGCGTTCGTTCTCGTTCTCTTGGCGGCTTTGTTAAGAACACATGGGGGGGGAGGGGGGGTTAGAGGGAGTTTGCTTCTAGAAGTTGCGTAATTTCAACTCAGCTCCTCATACGAACTAAAGGGAGCTCCGGGAACCGGAGTTCAGAGCCCCAACTTCGGATTTCTAAAAGGCAAGAAGTGAGGTGAGCTGAGCAGGAGAATTGCTCCCAAGACAATGGGAGGACTCAAACAAAGACAGGATAATCCAAGCGAAGAGATGTAACTCACTTTTCTCTAAGATTCCAGGCACAGGATCTTGGCTCCGGGCCCCATGTCCTGCTTCCTAACGCTGAATGTGGTGGACATCTAGGTCAATTTGTTGCCTGGGTGGATTTGTGAATATCAGCATCTCTCCCCACCCCCCATCCTTGATGGGATAAAGAAAAATCAGGAAAAGTGAGGAAGAAGGAGGAGGAGGAGGAGGAAAATAATAGGTAATAGGAGGATGGGCAGAGTGGGGGGGAGGAAAAACAGTTTGGGGGAAGGTTAGACTTTCAAAAGCCTCCTTGATCCTTCTTTCTTCTGGGTCTTCAGTTCCTGCCAGGTGAAGAATGCCCACCCCCCTCTCCTAATAAAGACCAGGCTGGAGGGAGAGGGGCTGAGGATGGGGAAGGCTGAGGAATATGAGCAAAGCAAAGTAGCATATTCTAGCATGATCTGTTTTTATTTACCAACGGAAAGAAAGAGTTCAGTTAAGTTCAGCTGAATCAGTATGTGTTGAAAGAACAGGATTTACCCAACCTGGAACAGAAAGAAATAGTAGTTCTGCTGAGTTCAACTGAGGAAATATGTATGAGAAAATAGGAGAGAACAGGACTTACCAGGCCTGGAGATACTGAGGAAAGAAGAGGTGGCCCCTGATCTATGTGATATATAACTATAATACGAATACATAATTATGGTATGAATAACTAAGCCTGCCACTAATGAAGCACCTTCTATGTGCCTGGCATTGTGTTTAGAACCGTAATTATGTATTTGTATTATACTTATGTATTCCATAGATCAGGGGCCACCTCTTCTTTCCTTAGTAACTGCAGGCCAGGTAAATCCTGTTCTCTCAACATATATTTATTTCCCCCCACTCTGCTCATCTTCTCATTACCAATTGAGTCTATTGAATAAAAAGTAGGAAAATTGTATGTTATGTGTGTGTATGATATACATAAACACAATCTAAATACAAACTGAGGAGTAGTTACATGAGTGGAAAATTGGGGTCATGGAGTCTGAGGAGCTCAATGACTATGGAGGGAGCCTTTGTTTTTGTTGTATGACTGTCTATGATGTCTGAAAATGTCAAACTATGTGTCCTTATTATGTTTATAGTCACACAATTTTTTGTTTATAGAGATCATTGGCATTGGTGAATCTTGTAAGAAAAGAAATGGTGGTAGAGGGAAAGAATAGCAAATCAAAAGAAGATGTGCTTATAAAGCTGTTTTTTTTAAAAAAGGACATGGATTTTAGAACATTAAAAAATGTTAACCTAAGGCATAGACAACTACCTGTCATTGATATGTGTCCTATGCTGCTTGGGAGAGAAAAAAGCTAGAGGATCAGTGATTTATATTGTTTGGGGGAATAGGATATACTCGAATTTAAGTAAAATTCTCAACTTTACTGTGAGGGTGCAGCTAATAATGAAGCCACATAGTGAGTGTCTGAGCCTTTGTTCAGTTACCTCCTAGAGCCCCTGCCCCCACTCAAGATTTAGGTGCCTGTGGTGTACTGGGAGTCACCTGTGCTCAGTGTATTTAGCAGCGGGAGCACCAAGGCCCAACCAGCCTGATGTTTCACTGTATAAGTACCAAGTGAATCAGGAAAGGGTTAGGGGTCACACTTTACCTGGAAGGACCTCACCAGATTAATCTTCCACTTTAACTCTCTTCAGAGGATCCCTCATCAATATTATTGGACCTTCAGTGACTCTAGTTGGGATCACACCTCAAGGTGGACCCAACATATTACATCATTTGATTCAGCAAGAACTTAACAGGCTGTATGACCAGGAGAAGCAGGAGTTCATCAGGCAAAAGAAGGGGTGGTGAGGCCCATAGAAAGAAGATGGGGTACCTGCAAAGTACCAGGGAATTAGAATAAAAATGAGGTATGAATAGTGCAATAGTTTCTCAAATCAGGTGACAAAAATCACCTAGAGGCCTTGTTAAAGCACAGATTGCTGAATCCCATTCCTAGAGTTTCTGATTTGTTTTATTTGGGTGAGGGCCTGAGGATTTGCATCTCTAACAAGTTCACACCAATGCTGATGCTGCTGATGCTGCTGATCCAGGGCCCACACTGAGAACCACTGAACTAGTGCATAAAGAACTAGAAAGAAGATGGTGAGAACTGGATCTTGAAAGATAGGCAGGGCCTTGAAGTCCAAGTTAAGAAACCTGAATTGTATCCTAGGGGGCATTGGGAAACCACTGGACTGACGTGACCCCATAGATGTTTTAGAAACATCATTCTGAAATGGTGAGAATGCACTAAAGAGGGAGTAACAGGCTTGCCTCTCCTAGAAGCAAGGAGAATAATTGGAGGCCTTAATTATAGTCGTTTAGAATGAGATCGATGACAGTAATTGGAGAAGCAGAGGGGATTGTTTCCCAATGTCCTTAGAACTCTATAACTTTGAGAAATATTTAGGTACAGGTGGGGGCAGCAGGGGAATAACAGTATTGACAATTGCTTGGTTGTGGGCAGAGGGATGGTTAAAAACAGTGCCTGGGCTATCACTATGCCATGATGACTCACCAGATGTGTTCATGTTCATTCCATGTACATGGATCTCTGGAATGGTGTGTGGGTGGAGCCATCTGGGGCTGAGAGGGAAGGGAAGGAACGCTTTTTGTCATTCAACACATAGCAATATTTGATTATCACTTAAAACTATTAGTTCAGCACTGAAGACTTAGTGCCCAGTAAGGAAAACTGCAAGTAGCAAAGAAAGGTGGATGTGGGTGGTGTGGTGGTGGGTGCTGTTAGTTCCTCACTGCTTTGCCAAGTAGACATTTCCAGCTTAGGGAGGTTGTACTCCAAGAAAGGACAGAAACTGAACAAAGGATCATCCTTAGATTAGTTATCATTAACCAATTATATAATCAATACACAAGAAAAAAATGCTATATTACAGCTTGTATTTTATTTTCCTTGCTCCCTGTATCAGGTATTCATGTTCATATTTATCAGTTGTAAAAGAATGGAGGTTTTGTAAAAAACACACACGCAAAAGGATATTTATTGTCACTGAACAGGATCTCAGATTAAAAGGAATTAACACACACACACACACACACACACACCCATGCATGCCCGTACGCACACACACGCACGCACGCACACACACCCACAGACCTATATTCACCTAGTGGTGGCATAGCTCAATTGCAATTTCAGCCCTTTTGAATGACTTGACCTCTTAATATTCAACCAGACTGTTAAGCTCAACACATGATTATAAGAGCACCATAAATAAATACACAATATACTTATAATCAGGTAAAATAGAATTCTTCATGGCTTAGAGTCCAGAGTTTATTTTTTAAATTATTTTTTGTATTTCTAAGACAAATAATGCATGTGCTTATTTACTTTTGTCCAAATAAAATTCCTAATAAATACAATAAAAAACAAGTTTGTTTTATCTCTTCTGTATTCTGGTACTTTCAGTGGAAGTAGCTTTTTAGATAGTCATTGTTATAACCTAAAATGAAAATATCTGCTTCTTGGTTTTGGATCCCTAGTGAATAATATTTATTCTTGCTTTATTCATCTATGACTTAAACATTTTTCCTATGGATAATGGAAACAATAAAAACAGTAATTATTTTAGCATAAAATAGTTCCAATATATATTAGTAATGGACTATTTAAAAATGTAAATAAAAACACAGGCCAAATGGACAGAGGCCAAGTTTAAGAACACGTCTGCAATTCACATTAAAAAGCCATTAAATGGTTTGTCTAAAAGCAGAAATCCAACTAATGTATGAAGAAAATGGAAAAAACTATACATTAGGGAAAAAAGTAAATAACAAGATCCTCATGGTCGTAGCTTTCAGTGAAGTGGGTGCCGGCACCTCTGGCATCAGAAATAGAGGACCATCTCTCACCAAGTATGTGACTGCACATCTGTGCAATGTTAGCAGTGATATGATATCAATACCTACTCCCTCAGGGCTGTACTGAGGGTTAAATGAGATAATGAAAGGGCTATTTTTAGTGCATGGTAGATAACTGCCAAATATTTTAATGATAATGATACTGAAGATGGGAAAAAGTGTAAATGAAGTAAAGTGCTTTTGGTAAAGTACAATGGAAATTCTCTCTCAAGGGCTTAAGGTAGTTTTATAGGAAGTACAGTGAGTGGCAAGAACTCTCCCAGGTGAGGCAGACACACTTGGCCCTGATCCTAGCACTGCTGGGACTAAACACGTGGCCCTGGACAGCGAACTTCAATCTCTCCTGATGAAAGGTCACAGTTGTGTTCAATGAGGTGGTGGCTTGATCCACCATTTTATCTCTTCCAGATCCAACATTTAATCTCTTCTTTGTAGGCATGGTGGGCTCCCATTAGGAAGAGGGCTGATGGAACACTCCATACTAACTGGGAATTCGAGTTGCAGTATTTGGTTGATTGTTTTATTTTATTCAAATAAAGAGCTCAT